ATATATTGTCATTGCAACCAGGTTGGAGGTTTGGGGGCATAGAGTCCAAGGAAAAGGGCCCCAACCCAAAAAGGAGAAGGAAAAACAGATCCCATCATCACCACCACCACCACCACCATCATCATCATTTATTACCGGCCTCTCCTCAAGTTTCCCTGAGTTGGAGACTACTGAAAAAATCTTGGGTCTCCTTAAAAGAAGCGTGATTCCTGCCATTGCAATTAAAGGCCAGGGGATGATGGGCCATAGAGTCAAAGGCCACAAAGAAGAGGAGGAAACGGAAGAGATCCGGATGGGTCTCCTTTATGGGAGAGACTCTCTTGAAAAGTTTCCCAGAGTTGGAGACCATTGAAAAAAGTATTTTGGGTCATTTGGGAAGTCTTATTCCTGCCATGTCAATAAAAGGTAGGGGATAATGGGCCATAGAGTCAAAGGGAATGGGCGCATAGTGGACGAGAGAGCCAATAGGTTTCCATTAGACATTTTTCACAAACTTTCCCTGAGTTGGGAATGTTTGGGTCTCTTTCTTAGGCCTGGGCAATGCATGGTTCTAAATGGTTCTAAAGTACTTACAAAACTCAAGTTCTGGTGGTGAAAACTTCAGAACTCTAACAAAACTTTCAAAATTTAATCCAATGGGTTTCCGTTAGACATTTTTCACAAACTTTCCTGGAGTTGGGAATGTTTGGGTCTCTTTCTTAGGCCTGGGCAATCCATGGTTCTAAATGGTTCTAAAGTACTTACAAAACTCATGTTCTGGTGGTGAAAATTTCAGAACTCTAACAATACTTTCATAATTTAATTCAATGGGTTTCTGTTAGACATTTTTCACAAACTTTCCCTGAGTTGGGAATGTTTGGGTCTCTTTCTTAGGTCTGGGCAATCCATGGTTCTAAATGGTTCTAAAGTACTTACAAAACTCAAGTTCTGGTGGTGAAAATTTCAGAACTCTAACAAAACTTTAATTCTTTAATACATTTAATTATTATTAATTACACTGAATTATTATTTCATTACTGGTGATTTTTATGATAGAACCATTTAGGAACTCCCATTTATAATGAAATTTTGAGAGTTCTGTTAGAGTTCTGAAATTTTCACCACCAGAACTTTAGTTTTGTAAGTACTTTAGAACCATTCATTTAGAACCATGGATTGACCAGGCCTACAGTCTTTCTCCTTTCAACCCTTTTTAGAACTTCTCCCTGCAATGGAATTGATGTTTTAAAGTACTTACAAAATGAAAGTTCTGGTAGTGAAAATTTCAGAACTCCAACAAAACTTTAATTATTTAATAAATTTAATTATTATTAATTGCATTAAATTATTATTTCATTATTGGCGATTTTTAGTATAGAACTGCTTAGGAACTGCCATTTATAATGAAATTTTGAGAGTTCTGTTAGAGTTCTGAAATTTTCACCCCCAGAACTTGAGTTTTGTAAGTAAATTTCATTATAAATGGCAGTTCCTAATTGGTTCTATCATAAAAATCACCAATAATGAAATCATAATTAAATTTTGAAAGTTTTGTTAGAGTTCTGAAGTTTTCACCACCAGAACTTGAGTTTTGTAAGTACATTCGAACCATGTAGAACCATGGATTGACCAGGCCTACAGTCTTTCTCCTTTTTACAACTTCTCCCTGCGATGGGAATGATGGTTCCTCTGCCATTTGGGCCTTATTCCTGCCATTGCCATTAAAGCCAGGGGATGCTGGGACATAGAGTGAAGGGGGAAAGCCACAAAGAAGAGGAGAGACTCTTTGGAAAGTTCCCCAGAGTTGGAGACCATTGAAAAAGGACTTTTGCCACTTGGGTCTCATCTCGAAAGAAACCTTATTCTTGCCATTGGAATGAAGGCCAGGGAATTCTGGGTCTTAGAGTCAAAGGGAAAGGTTGCAAAGGAGAGGAGAAGGGGGAGATCCACTAAGAGTCTCTATGTCACTTTGTGCAAACTTTCCCGGAATTGGGAATGTTGTGTCTTTGGCCATATTTGGGTGGTCTCCTTGAGAGAAGCCTTATTCCTTCCCTTGCTATGAAGGTTAGGGGATGCTGGGCCATAGAGTCAAAAGGAAAGGCCGCAAAGAAGAGAATGGGTCTCTTTTCATCTCTTTGAAAACTTTTGTTGATTCGGAGACCATTTGGGTCTCCCCTCTCTTCTTTGGTACAAACTTTCCCAGAGTTGGGAGCAATGTGACTTTGGACATTTGGATCTCCTTGAAAGAAGTATTGTTTGTCAAGGGATTATGGGCCATAGAGTCCTAGGGAAAACTCACAAAGAGGAGGAGGAGAAGGGGGGAACCCTCTTTCAGCTCTTTTAGTCTCTATCTCACTTTTCGACACTTTGTACAAACTTTCCCGGAGTTGGGGACAATGTGTTTTTGGTCTCTCCTTGGAAGAAGCCTTCTCCCTTCCCTTACCATGAAGGCCAGGGGATTCTGGGCCATAGAGTCAAAGGGAAAGGTTGCAAAGAAGAAGAGGAGGAAAATGGGAGAGACACTTTGAAGTTTCCCTGAGTCGGAGACTACTGAAAAAAGGATTTTTGCCATTGTGCTTTCCTTGAAAAAAGCCTTATTCCTGCCATTTCCATGAAGGCCACAGGATGCTGGGAAATAGAGTCAAAAGGAAAGGTAAAAAAGGGGGGGCAGCTCCAAATGAGGGTCTCTATTTCACTTGTAGGCACTTTGTACAAAGTTTCCCGAGGTTGGGAACAAATATTTTGAGTCTCTCCTTGGAAGAAACATGATTCCTGCCATTGCCGTGAAGGCCAGGGGATTCTGGGCCATAGAGTCAAAGGGAAGGTCACAAAGCAGAAGAGGAGAAGGAGGAGATGCAATCAGGGTCTCTCACTTTTGGGCACTTTGTACAAAGTTTCCTGGAGTTGGGAACAATGTGTCTTTGGACATATTTTGGGTCTCTCCTTGGAGGAAACATGATTCCTGCCATTGCCGTGAAGGCCGGGGGATTCTGGGCCATAGAGTCAAAGGGAAAGGTCTCAAAGAGGAGGAGAAGAAGGGGGAGACCCAAAAGGGGGTCTCTATCTCTCTCTTTCGGCTCTTTTAGATCCAACGGGGGTCTCTGTCTCGCTTTTCGGCACTTTGTACAAACTTTCCCGGAGTTGGGAACAATGTGTCTTTGGGCATATTTTGGGTCTCTCCTTGGAAGAAACATTGCCAATAAGGCCGGGGGATTCTGGGCCATAGAGTCAAAGGAAAAAGCCTCAAAGAGGAGGAGGAGAAGGGGGAGACCCAAAAGGGGGTCTTTATCTCTCTCTTTCGGCTCTTTTAGATCCAACGGGGGTCTCTGTCTCGCTTTTCGGCACTTTGTACAAACTTTCCCGGAGTTGGGAACAATGTGTCTTTGGGCATATTTTGGGTCTCTCCTTGGAAGAAACATTGCCAATAAGGCCGGGGGATTCTGGGCCATAGAGTCAAAGGAAAAAGCCTCAAAGAGGAGGAGGAGAAGGGGGAGACCCAAAAGGGGGTCTTTATCTCTCTCTTTCGGCTCTTTTAGATCCAACGGGGGTCTCTGTCTCGCTTTTCGGCACTTTGTACAAAGTTTTCCAGAGTTGGGAACAATGTGTCTTTGGGCATATTTTGGGTCTCTCCTTGGAGGAAACATGATTCCTGCCATTGCCGTGAAGGCCGGGGGATTCTGGGCCATAGAGTCAAAGGGAAAGGTCTCAAAGAGGAGGAGAAGAAGGGGGAGACCCAAAAGGGGGTCTCTATCTCTCTCTTTCGGCTCTTTTAGATCCAACGAGGGTCTCTCACTTTTCGGCACTTTGTACAAAGTTCCCCAGAGTTGAGCACAATGTGTCTTTGGACGTATTTTGGGTCTCTCCTTATGATTCCTGCCATTGCTGTGAAGGCCAGGGGATTCTGGGCCATAGAGTCAACGGGAAAGGCCTCAAAGAAGAGGAGAAGAAGGGGGAGACCCAAAAGGGCGTCTTTTGACTCTTTTAGATCCAACGGGGGTCTCTATCTCGCTTTTTGGCACTTTGTACAAACTTTCCCGGAGTTGGAAACAATGGGCATATTTTGGGTCTCTCCTTGGAGGAAACATGATTCCTTCCATTGCCATGAAGGCCAGGGGATTCTGGGCCATAGAGTCAACGGGAAAGGTCTCAAAGAGGAGGAGGAGAAGGGGGGGATCCAAAAGGGGGTCTCTCTCTCTCACTTTTGGACACTTTGTACAAACTTTCCCGGAGTTGGGAACAATGTATCTTTGGGCATATTTTAGGTCTCTCCTTGGAGGAAACATGATTCCTGCCATTGCCGTGAAGGCCAGGGGATTCTGGGCCATAGAGTCAAAGGGAAAGGTCTCAAAGAGGAGGAGAAGAAGGGGGAGACCCAAAAGGGGGTCTCTATCTCTCTCTTTCGGCTCTTTTAGATCCAACGGGGGTCTCTATCTCACTTTTCGGCACTTTGTACAAACTTTGGGAACAATGTGACTTTGGGTGTCCTCCTTGAGAGGAGCCTGACTCTTTGAAGGCCAGGGGATTCTGGGCCATAGAGTCAAAGGGAAAGGTCTCAACGAGGAGGAGGAGAAGGGGGAGACCCAAAAGGGGGTCTTTATCTCTCTCTTTTGGCTCTTTTAGATCCAACGAGCGTCTCTATCTCGCTTTTCGGCACTTTGTACAAACTTTCTCGGAGTTGGGAGCAATGCATCTTTGGGCATATTTTGGGTCTCTCCTTGGAAGAAACATTGCCAATAAGGCCGGGGGATTCTGGGCCATAGAGTCAAAGGGAAAGGTCTCAAAGAGGAGGAGAAGAAGGGGGAGACCCAAAAGGGGGTCTCTATCTCTCTCTTTCGGCTCTTTTAGATCCAACGGGGGTCTCTATCTCACTTTTCGGCACTTTGTACAAACTTTGGGAACAATGTGACTTTGGGTGTCCTCCTTGAGAGGAGCCTGACTCTTTGAAGGCCAGGGGATGATGGGTTATGGAGTAGGGAGGGGAAAGGGTCCCAAGGGAGGACTGGGGGGGGGTCCCTGCCCACCTGCTTGCTGCGCTCTTCGGCGGCCTTCTTGTCGGCCTCGGCCTGCTCAGCCCGGTCCAAGGCGTTCTCCTTGTCCAGCTTCAGCATCTGCATCTTCTTCTTGATGGCGTCCATCTCTGCGGTGGTGGATGAGAGGAGGATGAGAGGAAGGAGAGAAAGAGAGGATGAGGACGGAGGAGGAGAGGATGCTCCTTGTTGTAGGCACGCAAGCGGGCAAGAAAGCGGCTCCTGGGCTGGGCAGCTGGCCTTAAATAGCCCCTTCCTTCCTCCCACATTCCCAGGCCTTTTGGGGACGCCCCTCCTCCCCTCCCTCCCTTCCCTTCCCTCCTTCCCTCCTTCCCTTTCTCCTCCTCCTTCTTTACTTTACTCTTCCTTACCTTATTCTCTCATACCTTCTAGCTTCCACTGCTAATACCTCCCAGTTCAAACCAGTCTGGCCAGTTCAGACCATTCCAAGCCAAGAAGGAAGGAAGGCCAGCCAAAGGGCCGCAAGACCCTCAGAGAGATCTCCCAGTTAAAACCAGTCTGGCCAGTTCAGACCATTCCAAGCCAAGAAGGAAGGAAGGCCAGCCAAAGGGCCGCAAGACCCTCAGAGAGAGCTCCCAGTTAAAACCAGTCTGGCCAGTTCAGACCATTCCAAGCCAAGAAGGAAGGAAGGCCAGCCAAAGGGCCGCAAGACCCTCAGAGAGATCTCCCAGTTAAAACCAGTCTGGCCAGTTCAGACCATTCCAAGCCAAGAAGGAAGGAAGGCCAGCCAAAGGGCCGCAAGACCCTCAGAGAGAGCTCCCAGTTAAAACCAGTCTGGCCAGTTCAGACCATTCCAAGCCAAGAAGGAAGGAAGGCCAGCCAAAGGGCCGCAAGACCCTCAGAGAGAGCTCCCAGTTAAAACCAGTCTGGCCAGTTCAGACCATTCCAAGCCAAGAAGGAAGGAAGGCCAGCCAAAGGGCCGCAAGACCCTCAGAGAGAGCTCCCAGTTAAAACCAGTCTGGCCAGTTCAGACCATTCCAAGCCAAGAAGGAAGGAAGGCCAGCCAAAGGGCCGCAAGACCCTCAGAGAGAGCTCCCAGTTAAAACCAGTCTGGCCAGTTCAGACCATTCCAAGCCAAGAAGGAAGGAAGGCCAGCCAAAGGGCCGCAAGACCCTCAGAGAGAGCTCCCAGTTAAAACCAGTCTGGCCAGTTCAGACCATTCCAAGCCAAGAAGGAAGGAAGGCCAGCCAAAGGGCCGCAAGACCCTCAGAGAGAGCTCCCAGTTAAAACCAGTCTGGCCAGTTCAGACCATTCCAAGCCAAGAAGGAAGGAAGGCCAGCCAAAGGGCCGCAAGACCCTCAGAGAGAGCTCCCAGTTAAAACCAGTCTGGCCAGTTCAGACCATTCCAAGCCAAGAAGGAAGGAAGGCCAGCCAAAGGGCCGCAAGACCCTCAGAGAGAGCTCCCAGTTAAAACCAGTCTGGCCAGTTCAGACCATTCCAAGCCAAGAAGGAAGGAAGGCCAGCCAAAGGGCCGCAAGACCCTCAGAGAGATCTCCCAGTTAAAACCAGTCTGGCCAGTTCAGACCATTCCAAGCCAAGAAGGAAGGAAGGCCAGCCAAAGGGCCGCAAGACCCTCAGAGAGAGCTCCCAGTTAAAACCAGTCTGGCCAGTTCAGACCATTCCAAGCCAAGAAGGAAGGAAGGCCAGCCAAAGGGCCGCAAGACCCTCAGAGAGAGCTCCCAGTTAAAACCAGTCTGGCCAGTTCAGACCATTCCAAGCCAAGAAGGAAGGAAGGCCAGCCAAAGGGCCGCAAGACCCTCAGAGAGAGCTCCCAGTTAAAACCAGTCTGGCCAGTTCAGACCATTCCAAGCCAAGAAGGAAGGAAGGCCAGCCAAAGGGCCGCAAGACCCTCAGAGAGAGCTCCCAGTTAAAACCAGTCTGGCCAGTTCAGACCATTCCAAGCCAAGAAGGAAGGAAGGCCAGCCAAAGGGCCGCAAGACCCTCAGAGAGAGCTCCCAGTTAAAACCAGTCTGGCCAGTTCAGACCATTCCAAGCCAAGAAGGAAGGAAGGCCAGCCAAAGGGCCGCAAGACCCTCAGAGAGAGCTCCCAGTTAAAACCAGTCTGGCCAGTTCAGACCATTCCAAGCCAAGAAGGAAGGAAGGCCAGCCAAAGGGCCGCAAGACCCTCAGAGAGAGCTCCCAGTTAAAACCAGTCTGGCCAGTTCAGACCATTCCAAGCCAAGAAGGAAGGAAGGCCAGCCAAAGGGCCGCAAGACCCTCAGAGAGAGCTCCCAGTTAAAACCAGTCTGGCCAGTTCAGACCATTCCAAGCCAGAGGAGACACATCAGGTGTTGGGGATTAGCAGCTCGGTGGAGAGACAAAGTAGAGTATAACACAACAACAGCAACAACAACTTATTGTCGAAGGCTTTCATGGCCAGAATCACTGGGTTGTTGTAGGTTTTGGAGTGTTGAGGGAACTGGGAAGTTTCTGGGTGGGATCCCCAATTTGTCCAGCTCTGATTAGACGCTGTGGCTGTCTCTTGGTGGAGAGACAAAGTAGAGTATAACACAACAACAACAACAGAAACAACAACAACAACAACATATTGTCGAAGGCTTTCATGGCCGGAATCACTGGGTTGTTGTAGGTTTTGGGGTGTTGGGGGAACTGGGAAGTTTCTGGGTGGGGTCCCCAATTTGTCCAGCTCTGATTAGCAGCTTGGTGGAGAGACAAAGTAGAGTATAACACAACAACAACAACAACAACAACAACAACAACGTATTGTCGAAGGCTTTCATGGCCAGAAGCACTGGGTTGTTGTAGCTTTTGGGTTGTTGGGGGAACTGGGAAGTTTCTGGGTGGGATATATATCTGTGGAATGACCAGGGTGGGACAAAAGACTCTTGTCTGTTGGAGCCAGGTGTGAATGTTTCAACTGACCACCCTGATTAGCATATAATGGCCTGACAGTGCCTGGGGCAATCTTTTGTTGAGAGGTGATTAGATGTCCTTGTTTGTTTCCTTAGGAGAGAATGCCTCTAGAACATGGCCATATAGCACGAAAAAACCTACAACAACCCAGTGATTCCAGCCATGAAAGCCTTCGACAATACATCTAATCACCTCTCAACAAAAGTTTGCTTCAGGCACTGTCAGGCCATCAAATGCTAATCAAGGTGGTCAGTTGAAACATTCACACCTAGCTCCAACAGACAAGAGTTCTTTGTCCCACCCTGATCATTCCACAGATATATAAACCCAATTTTCCTAGTTCCAACAGACCTCACTACCTCTGAGGATGCTTGCCATAGATGCAGGCGAAACGTCAGGAGAGAATGCCTCTAGAACATGGCCATATAGCCCCAAAAAACCCACAACAACCCAACAACAACAACATTTATTTATTTACTATATTTGTGTACCGCTTTTCTCAGCCCTCGGGCGACTCAAAGTGGTTAAAAATGGCAAAATACAATGCTCAAAACATCACAAAACAGTTAAAAATAATTAAAACAATAGCGTAATAAACAATCGATTACACATCAATATAACATCTCATAACAACATAACAATAATAATATTTTTTGTCATGTCAGGAGTGACTTGAGAAACTGCAAGTCGCTTCTGGTGTGAGAGAATTGGCTGTCTGCAAGGACGTTGCCCAGGGGATGTTTTGATGTTTTACCATCCTTGTGGGAGGCTTCTCTCATGTCCCCGCATTGGGAGCTGGAGCTGACAGAGGGAGCTCATCCACGCTCTCCCCAGATTCGAACCTGCAACCTGTCGGTCTTCAGTCCTGCCAGCACAAGGGTTTAACCCACTGCGCCATAGAGGTATGTTTTAATATGTGTATTTGTGGTATTTTTGCTATTGTTGTTGTTGTTTATTCGTTCAGTTTTTTCCGACTCTTCGTGACCTCATGGACCAGCCCACGCCAGAGCTCCCTGTTGGCCGTAACCACCCCCAGCTCCTTCAAGGTCAAGCCACTCACTTCAAAGATGCCATCCATCCATCTTGCCCTTGGTCGGCCCCTCTTTCATTCATTCAGTCGTCTCCGACTCTTCGTGACTTCATGGACCAGTCCACGCCAGAGCTCCCTGTTGGCCGTCACCACCCCCAGCTCCTTCAAGGTCAATCCAGTGACTTCAAGGATCCCATCCATCCATCTTGCAATAATAATAATAATAATAATAATAATAATAATAATAATAAGTTTCTGACTTTTCGTGACCTCATGGACCAGCCCACGCCAGAGCTCCCTGTTGGCCGTCACCACCCCCAGCTCCTTCAAGGTCAATCCAGTGACTTCAAGGATCCCATCCATCCATCTTGCAATAATAATAATAATAATAATAATAATAATAATAATAATAATAAGTTTCTGACTTTTTCATGAACTCATGGACCAGCCCACGCCAGAGCTCCCTGTCGGCCGGCACCACCCCCAGCTCCTTCCAGGGACATCAAGGATCCCATTCATCCATCTTGCAATCAAGGATCCCATTCATCCAAGGTCAATCCAGTGACTTCAAGGATCCCATCCATTCATCTTGCAACAACAATAATAATAATAATCATCATCATCATCATCATGTTGTTCATTCGTTCAGTCATTTCCGACTCTTCGTGACCACATGGACCGGCCCACGCCAGAGCTCCCTGTTGGCCGTCACCACCCCCAGCTCCTTCAAGGTCAATCCAGTGACTTCAAGGATCCATCCATCCATCTTGCAATAATAATAATAATAATAATAATAATAATAATAATAATAAGTTTCTGACTTTTCGTGACCTCATGGACCAGCCCACGCCAGAGCTCCCTGTCGGCCGGCACCACCCCCAGCTCCTTCCAGGGACATCAAGGGACATCAAGGATCCCATTCATCCATCTTGCAATCAAGGATCCCATTCATCCAAGGTCAATCCAGTGACTTCAAGGATCCCATCCATTCATCTTGCAATAATAATAATAATAATAATCATAATCATCATCATCATCATCATGTTGTTCATTCATTCAGTCATTTCCGACTCTTCGTGACCACATGGACCGGCCCACGCCAGAGCTCCCTGTTGGCCGTCACCACCCCCAGCTCCTTCAAGGTCAATCCAGTGACTTCAAGGATCTCATCCATCCATCTTGCAATAATAATAATAATAATAATAATAATAATTTGAAAAATGTTCTGTTCCTGGTTTGAAAGTGTTATCTCCTCTTCCATTGTACAGCTCTAACTTCGAAAGTCGTTGCTCACCTCCAGAAACGTTGCTGTTGTTGTTGTTA